CTCATAAATCTGCTGTGCTCGACTGGTTGTAAGAAGGCTGTTGAGTCCCCCCCTCGTATCCAGGGAGGCCAGCGGCACTGCTACTGCTCGCACCACCGGCCCCTAAACATGGTAGGAAAGAAGGAATTAATTGGTAGGAAGATAGGTATCAGGGGAAAGAGGAGGGAGCAATATTTGATGGAGAGGGGGGGGGGAATAAATAACACAACACCAAAATGAAAGAGGACGATGCGGGCAGAACAAGGAAAGGGGAGGGGACTTTATATAGGAAAAAGGGGTGGAAAAGGAGGAAATACGAAGTTAAGTAGGATTTGTTTACCATGAATGTCATCGTAGGCGCTGCTGTCTTGAATGAACTCGTCCCGCCAAAGGACTAAGGCTGACGTGAAAACAAGCTGGAGTAAGGGAGGAAGGGAGGGAGGCAGGGAAGGAGGAGGCCAGTTGTCAAAGTGGGGACCGTGATAGAGGTGAAATATTCGTTTCAAAGAAGGAAATATTCGAGGTTATCGAATTCCTTCCCCATCCCATCCGCATCCCTCCCCAGGCAAGCGTGCCTTGTGATGGGAGGGAAAGCTTCCTGGAGACACCCTAACAAAATAGCATGACCACGAGAGCAAGTTCTCTTCCGAGCGAAGGGGTGTTGGGGGGGAATGCGAGGCAGCGATTATGGAATGCACAAACCTGAACAAGGAAGAGCAGGGTTGCGAAGGCGCAGGTGGCACTGTAGGCGCTACGGTTCTGAGAGAGGGGGGCGAGGGAGGTGAGGTCAGAAAAGATAGTGGGAAGCCTGTTCACAGGCAGCTCGGTCCCGTTCTTTGTCTCCTTTCGCTCCCGTTTCCCTCCCAGCATCCAGATGTTGACGGTGCGCTCCAGGAGAAGCACGAAGAGCTTTCTGGGAACGCGCCTTCGGTCTGCAGAGACCGCGTCAGCCTATTCCAACTCCCTTCAATTACTCAAGAGCCTCCGGCCCTGACTATATCCCACTCAGACCTACCGTGCACGAGTATCTCTTGATATCGTAGTAGCCAGGGGAGCAGTTCGCGAGTTGACCCTGCGGTGGAGGAGGGAAGGGGGGAGGGAGGGGG